GATGTCTCACCAAGTTGCTCCAGCTTGTCTCGAACCCCTGGGCTCAGGTAGTCCTCTTGCCTCTGCCTCTCAAAGTGCTGGGATTATAGGAGTGAGCCACTGTGCCCGGCCTGCTTTTTTGGAGCAGGTAGAAGCATTCAGAACCGTGCGGAAGATCTCAAGCTAGTGGAGAACCAGCCAGGGGTATCATTGCTCATCTGATTTTCTGAACCCAAGATTTAAGTCAGAAACTTTGCATTTGAATTCTGTTTTTGTCACTTTTATACCATTTCCTTCTGCTATATGTTGTTACTTGTGATCTGAAGCATATTAAAGTGAATTGAATTTTGACCCCAATCGTTTGGACTCTTTAAAAGAAGATTCTGTAGACTTAGGCTATCCAATGGAAAATATTTGTTAAGTCTATTGTATTAATATTATATGGACATTTCTTCACATCAAATACCCTTCTAACTCTTTTAGAAATTTAGAGGAATCAGATTTTAGAGTTTGATGGGTCCTTGGAGAAAATATATTGCATATGTTCTAGAGTGGGACATGAGATGTGTACAGTCACACGGCTCTTAGTAACAGAGGAGCACATTTTCAAAGAGAATGCTTGTGACAGAGACTTAGTCCCTAAATGAAAGCTTACCAAGACCCTACCTGACAACTCTTGGAGCTTCTTGCATAGTCATGGAATTAAAAAAAAAAACAAAACTATTTAGTAAATCAAAGTTTTCCTGATTCTAATTGGTCTTTTCCCCAGACCAATTTTTCTCGGCTATCGAAGTAATTAGTAGATATAATTGATTAGAAAGGGCTTTAAGTTGAGAACTGATAGAGGAATCTTAGGCCACTCATAGAAAATAGAAAGTGGGAATTAACAAATAGCCAAATTTTCACTGAGAGAAATATTCTCAGAAATCCAGAGAACACTGCCACACTGAAACGGCTATTTCCGAGGAGTAATAAGTTAGCAGTGAATAAAGAACTTCCTTCTCCAGCTTGCCACACTCATAAGATATGGAAATTAAAAGCCTAGATTGTTTTATTTCTCTCCCTTTTTCATTTTATTCTTGCTGGTTAGTGGAGAAATGATCTTGGATAGAAGAATCACATGAGAACTTTGATAAGTTACTGTTTGAAATAGAGTAGTTTCCATGCTACAAACATTTGGAGAGAAGTATGTTTATTGAAATACATTTTATAGAAAATATTACAGAACCTGTAATTGAAAACTTATGGCAGTATTTTGGGGAGTGATATGTTTTTAATGTTAATTTGTGGATTCGCTCTGAACTCCCTTCTGCTGTTTTAGAACCATTGGCTGAGTGAACATTTTCCAAGAGTCTTTTCAGATCTAAACTGTGTTTCATGGAATGGAGTATTTGCTGCTTAAATAATGTATAAATCCACTTGGACAGGAGCTGCCTGTCAGTTTTATTAACTTTGACCTTTTCTCCCATTATAAAGGTGGTTCAGTAAATATTTAATGGGCCCCTTATAGATCTTGACAGTCGGAGCCGTGTTCCTGGAAACTGGGATACTTATATGTGATTAACAAATGTTGCTTAATCATTATGAATCAGCTCTCAAGGGTAGATTTTGTTTTGGGGAGGAGGAGTCCTTCTGCCTACGTGTGCTCTTAGGGGTGCATTGCACACTGGGAGTGTCCAAGATGGTAGAGGTTTCCAAGGAACCCTTTAAAAGACAGACAGCAGTTAGTATACATTTCTGCTGTTTTGGGTTTTTTTTGTTTGTTTGAACAAAGGATCAAAATGATGCCAGGTGGACAAAATCACCCTGCCACTCTGCATCGTTAGCAGGACTCTTCCACTCCAAGAGTCAGCAGGCCTGGAATGGCTGAGCTTGCATGGACCCTAATAAAATACAACGAAGGAGAGCCAAAAGGAGAGACGATTCCTTGAGCCAGGAGGGGGCCCCTGCCAAGCTGTCTTTCCCTGCAATTCCATAAAGCCCCATGCATATTGCACTCATTGCAGATTCGGGCAGGGAAGATCGAAACCCAAGTAGCTGACATTTTGAAACACTGTCTTTCAAACTTGTACTGTCCCTTGCTTCCATTGATTTCCCATTTAAGAAACCTGTAGGAAAAAAACAAATTTGGGCAAAATTCATTGTTTTAAGATGAGTTGTTAGAGCCCAATTATGCCCCACCCCATCCTGAGAAGTACTCTATTTTTATTATGAATGTGATATGTCTTTGTCTTGTATTGGGCAATCACAGGGCTCCCACAGCACATTGACCAAGTAAATCAAGAGCCTGTTAAAAAGCAATATGGGTGCTCCAAACACAGACATTTCAGTCGCATGGAGTCACTGGATAGCTTCATTTTTATAGCCACTTCCCAGGAGCAGATCATTTCAATTAGTTTTGTTTTCTTCACTCTCTATTTGCGTGCAACCTGATGGCTTTAGGTAAGGCCATTTATTTTTCAGACCATTATTACCCTTTGTATGCTGGTCCCAGCCCTTTCTTTGGTGGTCACCAGTTTCATTACCATGAGCTGTAATATAGCTGACTTGGCAAGGAAAATCTATGCCTTGGAAGAGCGTTTTGAGAAGAAATTGATTCAGAGCTTTAGAATGAATTACTATTTGTATGTTTAGTTAGTTCTACATAAAAATGTTTGAAAGACCTTGCTTAATTTGAGAAGAGAGGAAGAAACATATTGGATGTTATAAGTGGTCTCACTCCAAATTCTTAGCTTCGCATTTTCACATTTGAATGTTTCATTTACATCTGTATCAAAATTGGGACACCTTTCCAGGATAATTTTTTTTTTTTTTGAGTTGAGTTGGAGTCTCACTGTGTCTCCCAGACTGGAGTGCAGTGGCCACTCCTGGCCACCGCAGCCTCGACCTGCTGGGCTCCGGTGATCCTTCCACCTCAGCTTTCCAAGTAGCTGGAACTACAGGCACGCGCTACCACGCCCGGCTAATTTTTTGATTTATTGTAGAGATGAGGTCTCACCAAATTGCCCAGGTGGGTCTCGAACCCACGGGCTCAGGCAGTCCCCTCACCTCAGCCTTCCAAAGTGTGGGATTACAGGCTGAGCCACCGAGCCCGGCAAGGATAATTTTCTTACAGGGAAATTGAAAACAACTCTTATGATCTAAAACACAAAAGTAGGGGATTAGCAAAAGAAGATAAAAGTTATTGCCACGTGTCAAATTGAATGTAAGTTTCATTTGGCAAGGAGTGAGAATGAGTTGTATTTTATTTTATTTTATTTTTTTGAGTTGGAGTCTCACTCTGTCGCCCAGACTGGAGTGCAGTGGCCGCTCTTGGCCACCGCAGCCTGAACCTGCTGAGCTCCGGCGATCCTTCCGTCTCAGCCTTCCAAGTAGCCGGAATTACAGGCATGTGCTACCACGCCTGGCTGGTTTTTTGATTTATTGTAGAGATGAGGTCTTGCTGCCCAGGCGGGTCTCGAACCCGCGGGCTCGGGCAATCCACTCACCTCAGCCTCCCAAAGGTGCGGGATTATAGGCTGAGCCACCGAGCCGGCTAATGAGTTGTATTTTAAATAAAAAATTCCTGATGGTAGGAATTAGGGGGATCGACTGCATTAGGGCACAAGAGAGCCTTCTGCAGTGATGGAAAATTTTCTATATCTTGATTGGGGTGGTGGTTATACAGGCATATATTTTTGTCAGAACTCATTAAACTGTACACTTAAAATGAGTGCATTATGGTTTACATAAATTATAACTCAGTAAGGTGGATTTTTTAAAGTCCTGTTTGGTTTAGAGCTAGGCAGTATCATTTCTCTCTTCTAAAAGAGAAATTGAAGTACAAAGAATTACAGTGATCTGTCCTGAGTAACCTTGAAGCTCAGCAGTTTGTCCAGGAATAAGCAAAGGATGGTGTGCTGACTAGTTTAAACCATGCTGCTTCCTTACCCCCATTAATTGTTCCAGTCTCATGTACATGGAAGTGAAATCGACTTCTCTGCCCAGTTCTCTTCGATGAGCCTATGTCCATTTGCAGACAGCGTTGTAAGGGATATTCATGAGCTTGTTCTTATGATGGATGTTTGTGTCTTAACCACTGACAACGGTTCTGAATGCTGACTCATAGTGTGCTCAGATCTGTGTGTTACAAGCCATGCTGTGGTCATGGTGTACTGCAGTAGACTGTGAGTTCCATGGTTTTTATCTTCATGACAGTAGCAAGAGTTCTCAGAACTAAGTTTATCTCTAAGGAAAACCTCTGGATCTTCTTATAAAAAAAAAAAGATTTAGTCTTTAAAACCATTTACACAAAGCGTGTATGAACAGTAGTGAAAAGTAAAGAAAAAAGTCAAAATTACCTAAACTCTACTACTGAAAAATATACTCTTAGCATTTTGGAGAACTTTTTTTTTTTTAAGTGTCTCCCTGTTTATAATGTAATCTGATTTCTTTAATTCAACAAAATGATGTTGTAAAATTTTTTTTTAACCCATTTCCCAGTCTATCGTTGGACAGTCCTACTGCATCCCATTTTCATCATGATGTAACGCTGTGATGAACAATCTTGTTTCTTTTCTTATCTGTCGGATTATTTTCATATAGACAAATTCCTTGAAGTATAGTGTTAGTAGCTGTATTTGAAATTACTTAAAATATTCAGCCAGGCGTGGTGGCTAATGCCTGTAATCCCAGCTCTTTGGGAGGCCAAGGCGGGAGGATTCCTTAAACCCAGGAGTTTCAGGCATGCCTGGGCTTCGTCTCGACAGAAAATCAAAAAATTAGGTGGGCCTGGTAGCACACACCTATAGTCCCAGCTACTCAGGAGGCTGAGGCAGAGGATCACCTGAGCCCAGCAGGTTGAGGTTGTGGTGAACCGTGATCATGCCATAGTGCTCCAGCCTGAGCAACAGAGTGAGGTCCCAACTCAAATAACAACAGAAGTGTTCTAAGGGGCCAAGGTGATCAAGTATTGATAGTTCTGTACCCCCTGTCCTGCTTTTACCAAGTGTGTTTTCTCCCCCTTTCGTTTCCCGCTGCAGTTGCAGTACCATGCCGGTCTAGCGTCTGGCCTTTTGAACCAGCAGTCGCTGAAGCGCTCGGCCAATCAGATGGGAGTGTCTGCTAAGCGGAGACCGAAGGCACAGCCCACCACTCTCGTCTTACCGCCTCAGTGAGTGATCATTTTGAAAAATCCTCCAGTCCTGGGTGAACTTTAACTTGGTGCTTGTTTTTGGCCTGTGGAAAGTTACTGGTTTTTTAAAAATTGTTTCTTTCTTTTCAAAAGGTTCTCTTTTAGGATTAGTCACCAAGCATCATGATAACATCATTTGCATAGATCTTTATGAGGCAGCTCTAGTGCAGTTCATAGTTTATTTATCTTGTGTGTGACTTTTCCATCTAGGATTTTAAGTTACCTCCTGGCTTGTTCCTCATCACATTCTTGAAGTTGGCAGATTATGAGTACAGTTGTCTTTCTTTTACAAATGAGGCAGCTGAGCAGTTTGTTTTGTTAAGCAGCAGACCCCCTGGAGAATCTGCTAGAGCTGGGATTAGAATCAGTGCTAGGCTCGCTTGTCCTTGGAGATAGGGGTCTTCTCCTTCTGTGGCCCAGACTGGTGTTGAGCTCCTGTGCTCAAGCCATCCTCCCGCCTTGGCCTCCCAAAGTACTGGGATCACAGGCATGTGCCACTGTGCCTGGCTTCTTTTTAAGATAGTAATATATATGTTTTTCTTTTTTCTGATAGGTGGGATAATGGAGACAGGAAGGTTCACAGGGCATGCACCATGATGATTTCTTTCACACGTGTGTGTATCCATGTAGCAACCACTTTCCGAAGCCCATAAGGCTCATGTGCCCTGTGATGCCTGTGCTGCCTGCTTCCCAGGTTTCACACTGTTCTGGCTTCTTTAAACGGTTCATTTTGCCTGTCCTTGAACTTCCTACAAATGGAATCATACAGTATGTCATTTTTTTGTAATCTGTTCTTTTGCACTCAGCATAGTTAGCTGTTGCACTCACCCCGTCTGTTCTTTTTTGTTGTGGTGTAGTATTCCTCTGATTATGCCACACTTGATTCACCCTTTTGCCTGCTGGGCTATTTTGTATTGGAAGCCCTGGCAGATGAGTGCAAGGCTCATTCAATGGCATGGAATCAGAAATGTGGGCAAGGCAGTCCTGTTCATATCTCTTTTGTCACAATGCACACTCCTGGGAGGTGCGGGACTCCCAAGAGCCTGGACTTGGACTTCAGATGCATTTCCTGGCCTGTCCTGCTCTCCTGTTACACTCTCTTTTGTTTACATCCTTAGTTACATACCGCATTTTTCCTTTTGTAGCCCAAGGAAGTGTTCGTATATGATACTCAATTGTTTGCTTTTGCTCAAGATGTCATCTATGCTCTGTTGATGAGCAAGTGCCTACTCTGTGCCGGGCATGGTTCTAGGCCCAGGGGATATGAACACGGGCACAGACGTGGTCCCAGCTTCCTTAAGCTTTTCATTTGATTGAGGGGAACCCCCCCAAAAGCACCCCTAAACAAATTAACAAATTAATACCATAGTTTGTAGTTATGATTAGTGCTGGGAAGGGAATACACTGGTGGGGGGAAGGTGTGGGCGTGGGGACTACTGCTCGAATAGGGTGATCAGAGAAGACCTCTCTGAGGAGCGCACATAAGGCAGAGACTTGGGGAATGAGGAAGAGAAAGACCAGTGAAGAGATGGAGGGGCTCTGGGGGTTCTTTCTCCACTTGGTGGCCGCTCTGACACCCTTTCTCTACAATTCACTTCCAGACTTTCTCTACAGTTCACACTTGCTTCCAGGGTAGGACGAGCATAACCGACTCCAGCGAGTGGCTTTCATTGCCACAGGCATGCACAAGTGCGTATTTTTCATAAAGAAGCTCACTGCAGGGACAACTGCCTCTAGGGAAGCAAGGCGGAGCGTTCACTGTTTGGCAGAGAGCTTCCTAGGGGATGTGAGTTACTCTGTTGTTTCTCATGTGTTGATTTGGTCATTCTGCAGATCTCAACTTTCAGCTCTCTGAAGTCTAATGGGCCTTGTAACTTGTCACTTTCCCTGCATGGATTGTCTACTGAGGCAAGAGGTCTGGCGAGAAGTGAAAGACTTTCTAATGGTCCCATAAGACTAGAGCCAGAAAGTGTTTGTTGCTAACTCTCTCTTGACAAAAGTCAGTTCTGCGTCCATCTGTTCACCATTTGTTAATTTGCATTGGCTTGAAACCTGTTTACAGGTGACATGCTATTATGAGGACACTTAGAAACTATTTTAAGCATCAGGGCAATCAACAGACTCTGTTCTCATTCCAAAAAAGCAAGAGAGAGAAAGAGAGAGGGAGAGAGAAGTGGTCACAACTGTCATTATAAATTTATAATAAATCACTCAAAATACTTAGTTTCAAAGAGGAGAGTGGTTGCTGTGTCCTAAGAATACAACACTGGAATGATTTCCTATAGTTAGTAGCCTATTTCCTGTGAAAATGGACTGCTACATTTTCACATCATTGAGTTTTTTGGACTCATGTTGTCCTGGAATCCCTTTAAAGAACTACCGTCCAGTAGGTGGGATCTATATCTAAAAGACACTCGTTGCACTGGTAATGAGCACCTGTTATGCACCACTCATGTTTGATGTTGACTAAAACACTGGCCTCAAAAGTTGTTGTTTTTTCTTTTCCCACCCTTAAAGTTAAAAAATAGATTGGGTGTGGTGGTACACACTTGTAATCCCAGCCCCCTGGGAGGCCAAAGCAGGAGGATCATTTGAGGCCAGGAGTTCAAGACCAGCCTGGGCAACATAGTGAGACCTCATCTCTTAGGAAAAAAAAAAAAATTAGCCAGGTGTGGTGTCACACACCTTTAGTGCTAGCTACTCGGGAAACTGAAGCAGGAGGATTGCTTGAGCCCAGGAGTTCTAGGCTGCAGTGAGCTATGATTGTACCACTGTACTCCAGCCTGAATGACAGAGCGAGAACCTGTCTCAGGAGGAGGGGGCGGTAATCCAAAACAGTAATAGTATATACATAATATAACAAGAATAAAAAATAATAACACTACCATCCTGAGAAAGTGATTAAGGTTTTGCTGGATTTTTTTTTAGATTTTTTCTATGCATATATAATACATAATTTTTAAAAACAAAGGAGTGTATTTTAGTCTTACTCTATATCATGTCCCAACCTTTTATCGAATATAGTTGTTAAATTTAAAGTAGCATAATTTGACTTATGGAATATTCAAGTTTATATATTGATAGTCATATTATGACTGTATTCTGTAGAAGACTCCTAATTACAGCATTTGGTTATATGTACAACATGATCATAAACTAAAGAAAACCCTTTGACCACCCTTATAAAACACCCAAATCCTCCAAGGTTTTTGTATTAGTTATCTAGTGCTTTTATAGCAGATTACCCCAAAACTTGGGGCTTTAGCAACAGTAAGCATGATCTCACCATTTCTATGGCTTAGGAATCTGGGAGTGATTTGTTTGGGTGGGTCTGGCCCAGAGTCTGTCATAAGGTTGCAGTCAGATACCAGCCAGGGCTGCAGTCATCTGAAGGTTTGGCTGGGGAAGATATGACTGGGGTTAGGCACTCCACTTCCAAGACTGTTCATTCACATGGCAGCTAGTTGGTGTCAGCTGTTGGCAGGAGACCTCAGTTCCTCCCTTGGGAGACCTTTCCCCAAGATGCTTGAGTATCCTCAGAACATGGCATCTGGCTTCTCCAGAGCCAAGAATCTAAGAGAATGAGAGCCAGGCGGAGGCTACTCTTTTTATGCCCTAACCTCAGGGAGACACACAGTGTCCATTCCACATCCCTCCCTACCCCAGGGAACGGGATGAAGCTCTTTCTTTTGAAGGAAGAAGCATCTGTCAGACAACCTGCGGACACATTTTAAAACTGCCACGGTTGCCAGTGGGGAGAGACATTGCACATGGGAAGTATGGCTGAGCCTGTGAGCCCCATTTGCTTATTTATTCAGTGAGTATTTACTCAGGGCCTACAAGCGCTTGGTTCTGTGCACCGTGCTGGGGATTCAGAGATGAATAAGATATAATCTTGGCTTTCAGGAAGCTCTGCATAGGGACGGGGACAGACAAAGATCGGAGCATCATAGCAGTGTATGCTGAGTTGACTGACATGACCCTACAGTACCTGAGAAGGCCACGGGCAGGGTGCGGAAGGAGGCCTACTTAGGGAGGTCCAACTGGCTTCACTGTTTTTCCACTGCCACTTGTGAAGGTTAGAGACTATCTTAATTTTTTTTTTTTTTTTTTTTGAGTTGAAGTCTCACTCTATCGCCCATGCTGGAGTGCAGTGGCATGCTCACGATCCTTCCACCTCAGCTTTACAGGTAGCTGGAACTATAGATGTGTGCTACCACGCCTGGCTCATTTTTTGATTTATTGTAGAGATAAGGTCTCACCAAGTTGCCTATGCTGGCCTTGAACCCGTGGGCTCAGGTAATCCTCTTGCCTCGGCCTCCCAAAGTGCTGGAATTATAGGCGTGAGCCACCATGCCCAACCTATTTTATTTTATTTTTTGAGTTGGAGTTCCACTGTGTTGCCAAACTGGAGTACGGTGGCACAATTACGGCTCACCTCAGGTTCAACCTCCTTGGCTTTGGCTGTCCTTCCTCCTCAGCCTACAGGCATGCGCCACTACACCCAGCAAAATTTTAAAAATTTCTTTATACAGATGAGGTCTCACTATATTGCCCAGGCTGGCCTTAAACTCCTGGGCTCAAGTAATCTTCCCGCCTTGGCCTCCCAGAGTGCTGGGATTATAGGTGCGAGCCACCGTGCCTGACCGGAGGCGTTATTTTATTTTGAGAACTAGATGCTTTCTTGCATAGGCTTCCGGGGTCTCTGAGGGGAAGTATTATTTCTAAACGGTGGAGGAAGCCAGTGATGGGCCAGTGACTGGGTTCTCCCTGCACCTTCCTCTGCAACTCTGCGCATCTGTTAGCGTGGTGATGGGTGGGCTCCTGCGTTGGCTCTGCTCAGCAGGTGGATGGCATGAAGCCTGCCAAAGCAAAGCCACTGGCTCTGTTCAACTGTGCCGAGACCACAGACGTGGCAGGAATGCAGGAGATTTGTAACCATGTGTTTGTTTTTAAAATGCAGTTGGCTGTAACAGTAA